AATCATTTTAGGGCCATCAATCACTGATAACACTAAACTGATGAGCGGTAACAGCTTTTAAAGCGTCGCCTAGGGCCAATTTTGGGTATTATCGTTTTTTGAGGTTTCGCGCGCGCACGCAATTTTAAGGCTTGACATGTTTAGTGTCTTTTTACCCGACGTGACCCCATCTTTTATATTTTACCAAAAAATTGGGTAATAATAAATGTTTTATCATTTAATATAGTGGAAACTGTTTTTTTTTTTTACTTTTCCGTAATTTTTCCTTAATATAGTAAAAAAATAAAACCCCCAGTGGTGAATAAATACCACCAAAAGAAAGCTCTATCTGTCCCCAAAAAAGGGTATAAAATTCATTTCAGTACAGCGCTGCATGACGGAATAAATGTCAGTTAAAGTACCGCAGCGCTGAATACTGAAAAATGGCCTGGATGGGAAGTGGGTTTAACACCGCGGATGTCAACTGGTTAATATAATTTCCTTCACTGTGTACAAGAACACAAGAAATGTGTCTCATACTACTACTACTAAAATGCCACTTGGGCATGATTGAAATAGGACTCACAACTTGGAATACTTGAGATGGCACTAAGCACTTGGCATTGTTAACATGGCACTTCTAACTGAAATGCCACAGAATATTTGGCATTAAAAAAATGCCTGTGAGCAGTTGGTAGAAATTGCAGTGAGTGGCGGACATGGTAGAAATGCCCCCCAGCTCACAGCATAGTAAGAATAGCATGAAACCCTGAGCATTTTTTGTTTTCAACTAAAATCAGTACATCACATATATGAGGTCTGCAAGTACCTTCAATGCAGAAATAAAATATGACGATAAATGGCCCTTTTCTTTTTTTTACTTTTCTATTTGTCCTACAGCACAGTGATAATTTCAATGGATAGGTTTGCTATCTAAGTCTATAACATGTTTGGCCTGCTGGTGCTCATGGTCCCTACATGTTTGTGACACTTGTGACTGATAAGGGCAGAAATCCATCCTAAGGGCAAAGAGAATTGCACTCTTGTTAGCACTAGGTGACACTGTTGCTTTAATGCATATAATCTTTAAGAAGGATTTCTGTCACTTAGTGAGGATTTAGCCCAGGCATTCTATAAGCAATACTGCAGATGAGCAGTTCTTCAGCAGATCTCTATCCTTAACACTCTGAATAAATACATAGAATTTCACTTGGGATTAATGTACATTGGATGTTCAGGGACAGAGAAGGGGATTAAACGTGCTGTCTTAATAGGATAGGAAACCTATATGATTATTATTCTTTATCCAATATAATTAATTTAGGAGTCTGAATAATTTGGTAAGGATTTGTTGACAGCTTAACTGTTGGCACTAAAACACACACACACGTAAATTTTGCCTGGCACCATGCCTGGATTTACTCTAATGCCTTCTTGACCACAGATAGGTTGCACCTTCGTTTAGGCAATATTCTTAGTTAAGGAGGAACCATGGGTAAAATTAAAAAATAACACATGCAGTGATGTGCCTCTAGCATGACCAAAGCAGTGTTTTAATTTTTTTTCTAAATTTCAGTTGCTACATAGCTTTGTTACCTGTGAATCTTGCCAGTAGATTTGCTATTTTCCTACTTCCTTTAACAAGGTGACAACACTGTCTGTTCTGCAGTGAAGTCATGCAGCCGTGTTTTCACCTTGGTGAGGGTAGTCTTTAGACTTTAAAACGGAACTATGCTCACCTCCAATCCAACGATGAGACGTCCCCGAGTTCCGGCATCTTTGTCTGGTCGTCTTCTGGGTTCAGGATCTTCGGCCAGCTTGACTGGCCATTGCAGTATGAAGCAACTCCTGCGCATAAGCAGGAGTTCAATCATCCTGACAGATGCTAAAAGAGTATCATCACTTACCTCTCTGGCTGTATGTATTGTGAAGTAAATCATCCCCAGAGACCACATCAAAGACTGTGATGTTTTACTTTATAGGTCTGGCAGGCTGCCAAGTTTCTGCTATCTATAAAAAGTAAGGGACAATTAGCTGGGATTTCAGTGCCTCTGTTGTGAAATTTGAAGATGAATTTCTCCAAAATGACTAAAGCTACATGGGTGAATGAGGAATTTAAAGTGATTTTAATAAATGCTCAGAATATATAAATATTTTAATGTGCAAAGTTTGGGCACAAGTTCACTTTAATCTTGGGGTGTGGAGGTGGGGTAACAGCAAAGAGGTTGTGTACACAGGTATGCATACTGTATATGTCATAGAAGATGCAGCTTGATGTCCTGTGTATTTGCAGGATGTCTCCACCTACTTGTATTGTGTACAGAGGTTGCCTTGCGCACACAAGGTGACCACTGCAATGCACTTCGGCATGACAAAAATCTCATGCAGTTTTGACCCTCTGAAGTGTGTTATGGCACTAAACTGTAAGTTGTCTGTACTTGAGACACTCTATGTGCTTTACAACAGGGGTGAGCAACTCATGCCCTCCCGCTGTACTTTAACTGCAAATCCCAACATGCCTCTTGGAGCCATGCCTGTAACTGTTAGTCTTGCAATGCCTCATGTGCCTTGTAGTTCTACAACAGCTGGAGGGCTCATCCCTGCCCTAGAGATTAGTGAGGACTGTTTTTGTATAGCTCACTACATCCAAACTGAAACAATTTAGAAAATGTACATCTTTTATTATGGAATGTGATGTCTATATGCATAGGGCAAACACCACTAGAATAAATTCACAATGCAAAATCTAAGCAGCTGAGCCCATTTACTTTTATACACACCCTGAGCCCATCACTCTCCATCCAAAACACAGGTGGTTTAGGCATAGGTCTTTTCTAATGCATCAGCAGTGTTTAGTAATATAATGTAATGATTTCTTCAACGGGTGCGCATTGATGATGTGTATTACCGTAATGCTGTAAAACAATTGGCTCCATCCTAAGTTAACCCTTTCTGTATTATAAAATAGAATTATGTCATTCATAGCAGAAAATGTTGCCATATATCTCTACAGTGTAGGCGGTGTAATATTTATGTCTGCATATTGTATATTTCCTCTATTTATGTTCAGTATGTAAAATAGAATGGAGTTGTCATGCTTCATCATTTAGTAATGGGCTGTTTACATTTCCTGCCGAGAAGTGAATAAACTCGTTGTTCATAAATCAAGCATTGATGTGTTACAAATTCTTGCTGACATTTTGATGTACAGTACATAATAACGTATTGGGATTGCCGAGCAGTTTATTTATACATACGCTAAACAACAGCACACTCCATTAGACACCTCTAATTATTCATTGATTTGTGTTCTGTACTCAAGCTACTGCTTAATTGAAAACTTTCTTTAAGTAAATATCTGCTTTACAGATTAAGTATTGTGATGCAAAACAATAGCAATAAGAAACTCAGCAGTTTCAAATTCCAGTACCTAATTCTTGAAAAACCTCTAAAAGTGAGTAGGATGCAGGATGTTACAGAAAACCTGTAAAGAGCAAAGCAACAGGTTTTATCTAATGGGAGCAACACCCAAAGCATATTCTTCTGTTCCATTTGACCACTGGGAACAAAAAGAGATAGTCCTTTGTAGTTCTCCTTGCAAGTGGTGGTGGTGGGGAGGTTAAGGGAAAATATTAGCTGCTGATGGGGCTGCAATTAAGGTGAACCTGTTGCTTTGCCCTGCATAGACATGTAGGCGAAGGTACTTTTGTGTTCCTGCTATTCATTGTCACTTCCATTGTTTAATTGATCATAAGAAAGGTGGAAAAGCTGGATTTTAACCCTTCCATGTGCTATTCAAAAACAGTTTTGTCTGGAGTTGGTTTGCATATGGAATTATTCAGAAATCAATGAATATATTGTTATATAATCCTAGTATAATGGCTTAAAATCCACCTTTACATAATTTTAGCAAAATTATTCATGTTAGAAAGCATACTGAAACTGCCTACCTGTAAAATCATATTTGAACGGCTCTATCTATGTTGGGGGAAGGGGAGAGGTATTTCATCCAAAATGTTGACATACTCTTCAGAACACTGGGGCAGAAGAACTAAATTTCCTTTACATAGATTTTTACCACTGCTCTACAGCGGCCTGTCTGAAAACTGTTATCCTGCAATCTTCTGTGTTATGGTACATTAATTTACCTACAGCTAAACATATCTTTATTATTCTGAAAGACTTACCATCCTCCTGTCTTGTTTAGTCAAAGAGCTGATGTTCTTTATGTCTCATGCCGGTCAATGTGTAACAGTTTGGTTTTTCACCCATGTTTCTCTTTTCAGTTCCTAGTTAATTTAAGAACAAAGACTCCCCACCCCATATCCCTATAAATTAAGAACAAGCCTTACCCTTGCCACACTGTGTCACCAAGCAGGTGCACTACTATTTTCTTTTTTATTATTATTATTATTTTACAGGATTTATATAGTGCAGGTCTGTACAATGTAAGGAAGATATTACAATTACAGTACAAGAGCTTACAATCTAAAAAATGAATTTTAGTTTTAACTTTCTCTGCCACCAGTCTGCTCATTAGACATTTAGCATCATAAATTTGATCACTGTCCAATAAACAAGAAGGTGACAAAGCTGAAATAGGAAATAGTGGTGTCAGCTTTCAGTGTGGTAGAGGTGTACATGTATTGTGCCACTGGCATAGCAGATTGTACAAATCTTTTGGCAGATACAGTTCATGTGCATTTTAATTGTACTATAACTGTTTGCCTGGAGGTCTGTATTAACATCAGAACACAGCATCAATATTAGGCACTGTAGACTAGGGTGTACAAAATGCAGTATCAGACAGAGTATGTATTGAAAATGTGAAAACAACATCAGTTACTTTTAAATTTTATCTTATTACAGGATTGATGTTCTAGCCATTCTTTCATGTGTGGAAAACTTGCTTTGGTCAATATGTAGCACAGTGCGAGAACTTGTCAAGCCAACACAAAGTTTCAGAGATGTGGTTTTTAAGATACATAGTTACTGTGACCGCCTGCTTACGGTTCTGACAATCTCTGCAGCACCCCTGGAAATGTTAACACAGTAAGTACAATATTTAAAATGTAAAGAAAAATATGATTAAAGCTGGACACCCACAAAGAGATTTGTCCTAATATATCGCATCGGAACGTGCGGTACCTCAATGCCGTGCGTTCCAATGCGGTGCGACTTGGGTCGCGACTTCATGACCAAGGACAAATGTGGGTCCTGAGGTTACACAGGTTGAGAACCACTGGTTTAGAATGAACAGCTGGGTATTTTAAAATGAGTGTACTAAAGGGTAGCTGATTCAACAGCGAACAACTGAATAAGTAGTAAAATGCATGTGTTTTGCTAGTTGCCGATTTCATGCAGTACAGACATTTTTGTTGTTGTTTTTTCACTAGATGACCAGTGACCAGCAAGTAATGTAATTTTCCTTCTGCATATTTGTATAACTGGCCCTCTGGTGAATTGATGATTAGTGGTGGGTGGGCTGCTGTCAGCCTAGTACTAATGGCTAAATATACAGGGTGATGGACAGTAATAAAGATCAAGTAGGGGGGATTAAACCTTTCTCCACAACACCCAAGACCCCCCCAAAAAATACTCAAATCTTTTCATGAAACAATATAGAAATAAAACGTACATTCTGTATGCATTCTTTATAACATGACCGGTATGACCAGTTGATGACTTATTAATCACGGTTTAACTGACTACATGCATGTTTATTTATTACAGGTATTTATATAGCACTGACAATTTTACACATCGCTTTACACATTCACATCGTCCCTGCCCTCAAGGAGCTTACAATCTAAGGTCCTTATTGCACACACACAAAGGGCCAATTAACCTTCCAACATGTCTTTGGAGTGTGGGAGGAAACCGGAGTACCCGGAGGAAATGCACGCAAGCACAGGGAGAACATGCAAACTCCTTGCAGATAGTGTCCTGACCTTTACATATTCAGTATGTAATATTCAGGCACGAGATTGATTTAGTAACCAGCATTTCATTAAATTGTACATTTATATGAAGGAAATAGGTCAGCGAAACCTAAAATGCCTTTCCGTCAATTGGATTCCATAGGATGCAAAATAAAATCCCATATGAAATCTCACTCAAGACTGGATTGCAGTAAATCTATTATATTTGACCGTTATAATAGTAAATATCTACTTCAAGATTCCTTTTAAGGTTAGAAGGAATCTTTGTCAGCTTGCCTCTTCGGTATAGGTTCACGTTTTATTAAGTACCATGGATAGGCAATTGACAATCTAAAGCTGATGTGAGGTGATGAGTGGCAGGGAAATAAAGCCATCTGACAATGGCTGTGCCTTATCTGAGCATTATTCTCTGTATACTCTGTAAAGAATACTGGATCTCACTATGATTTCTAAAACATCTGCTCTTTTTTCCTGAAATACTCTACTTCAAGGCACCTGTGCTGGTAAATGTGCAAGTGCTGTGAAAAAATAACAAAGCTGTTGAACAGAAAAGACTAGTTACTTTATTGTGGTACAGTTGGATATGCTGAGAGGAGTTCATTAAGTCCTCACAGACTTTTCAACATGATATTTATAGTGCAAAACTATATGAGTTTTACTATGTGAAATACTTGATACATTTATATATACTCTGTGCTGTGTTCTCA